GAGCGCCACCAGGGGGGGGGGACAAACGGGATATGAGTCAGGCTGGGGCCCAGGCATCCGTGGGAAATGGGGGCGGGGTGCGTTCGTTGGGTAGGACTGTCGTGGCCCCCGGAAGAGGCCCCCTCTGCTGGGCCAGCTCTGCGGATGGAAGAGCCAGCGCCTCTTCTGGTTCCTTCGCTCCGAGGAGAAGACGGTTGCCGCTGCGAGGGGCCGACGATGCGGGCCTGTTTTCTGGGCGCCCAGTTTGATCGAGCTGTTGAGTTCCATGGGGGGTCTGATCGCGACGAGGTCAGTGGAGGCGCGCGCCGCCAAGGGGGCAAATTCTACCAGTGCCTTCTCCTAACGGAGGCTCAGTCGACGTCGGTCTTCGGCCCCGGGGTCGAAGCAGCTGCGAAAAAAAGTTGGGCCAGCTCACGGTCGCGGGGCGGGTGGGCACGGGGCGCGCGGGCAGTTCCACGGCCTCGTGGGCGCGGGCGACGAGAGGGCGGCCGGCCTCAGGCGCGAGCGCGCGGGCAGGACAGCATCTACGGAACAATCCCGCAAGTTGCTCGCTTTCAACGAGCGGCTCTTCATCGGCCAGTCGGGCGCAGGAGCGGCGCCGGGGCCTCCGCGACGTGCTTCGACTCTATCGGTTCGGCTGCCCCCTTGGCGGGCGCGGCGCCGGCGGCGGCGAGCGGCCCGGGGCCCAGGGGCAAGAGGGCAGCCGGCGTCGAAGAAGACGAGGATGGCATCAATGAGATCGGCGCGCCCGCCGCGAACCCTCCCGTCTGCCAGAAGCGCTCGAATCCAGGCGATTCTCCTTTTCGCTGCGACTGCGGGCGGTTCAACCTTGATGCGTCGCTCGATGGAACGCGCAGATGCCTTTCCCTTCGAAGCCAAGCCCACCGAAACGCTGCGCGCCTGTTCCTGTCCTGTCGCCGTCGAGCGGAGAGGCGCCCACCGCTGGAGTTTTGACGTTGGCCTTTGTTTCTTAGCGTGGATCGCATCCGCCCAAGTCGGGCCAACATCGCGAGCATTCTCCTCCGCAGTCTGATGCGGGCTCGAATTCTAGGAGGTCGGAGTCGAGCAGTTTCCATGGGGCGATTTCGAGGGGGACTTCAGCCAGCGCCCAAATGACATGCCAGGGAAGGCCGAGCATTGGATCGTGAAGAACAACCGCTACAGCCACCTCAACGACGGTAAGCTCAATGACAGCATCAAGTAAGCTCGGAATCTCGTGGATCGGATCCGCGGGAAACCAGAGTACTCATGGGTATTTTCGCACTTGCGCAGGCGAATGGCGGACGTGAGCTCGGCGGGCGGAGTGGCGAGGTCAAGTATTCTGAGTGAATCTGTCACGGGCGATCAGCTCATGAAGGGCCTCGAGCCAGTAATCTCCGGCGACGGCGCCAATCACCAGCCCCCCGTTCAGTGCCCATTTGTTCTCGCCAGCCGCGAGGTCGAGGGCGCGTTGCCAGATCGCGTTCAGTTCGGCGAGACCACAACTGAGGCATGCAAGAACGTCTAGAACTGTTGCAAGCCTCGGCCCCCCACCTCGGCCGACGCGGGCGATGGGTCGATCGATGAGTTCGGGCGCGATGACGGGGATGCGTCGCGGGCGGCAAGTGCTGGGGCCGCGACGCCTAGAGTTGCCGGCGCGCTCCTCGGCAGCGAGGGTCTCAACTTCTACCCTGCCGACCCGATCCTCTCGCAGGTCCCGAGCGAGAAGGCCAAGGAGAGCGCGGGCATTGCTACCGACTTGCTCATCGATCAAGTGCTGTGTTCGCCGGTGCCCAAGGATGCCGACTACCAGGGCGGCCGCGTCTTCTTCGCATCGGTTTGAGCTCGAGAGCTCGAGGCCGACCTGCAGGGGGCCGAAGTTCAAGCGCGCTACGCGGGACTTGCCTTCGAGACCCGCACAGCTTCAAATCAAATAGTGTTTCCCTCGAGCGCGAGCAATCAGAAGGTTAATTTGAACGACTGCGCGAAGCAGCACGACGACTTCAAGTCCTTCTGCACGGGAGCTTCCGAACATAAATCATCCTGCAGCACCGCGAGGTGCGTTCGCGCCGCCTGGCAGACGGCCTGCGCGTGGAAAGACGCCATGGATGCCGCAACGAGCTCGCGCGAACCAACCTTGTCCATCATTCAGGTCGCGAGGCCCGTCGTCGCGAGGCTCGATGAGTTCCTGGGCTTGGCCGCAGACGCCGCGGCAAAACTGCATCAGTCGGAGCCTCGGCCCAGCCTGAGGACCATTGCCGCGCAGGTCCACGCGTGGGCGGCCTAGGAGGGCGTTGTCTGCCAGGAATTGCTCAAGGTTGTGGTCGAACAAATTCGTCTTGACGCTGACTGACTCGAGCCGCGCTTCAACGCTTCACATGCTTCCACGAAGGAAGGCGCGTGCAAGGAAAATGCAGTGCCGATTCAAGACCTGTTGCAGCTCTCCCCGAAGATGTCCCCAGAGTATTCCAGCTTCCATGTGCGGCTGAAGAAGCGCCAGGTGTTCAATTCCGAAGCCCCCCTAAGCAAGAGGGGCATGCTGCGAGGGCGCCGTGTCAGACGCAGCGCTTCGAGATGAAGACAACCAGCCGAAGTCGATCGACGGCGGAGAGCGCGGCGCGCAGGGGAAGACATGTCTGCACCGAGCCTCGGTATCTTTGTCACTGAAGGTCGTCGACGAGCTGCCGGGCGCGCGCCCGAGCCGGACCACCGCGCAGTCAATATTCTCAAACGCGAAGTATGTCTTCAAGAAGACGGAAGGTGAGTTCAAGTCTCACATCACTGATGTTACCCATCTTTGCACGCCTTCATCAAGGACGCGATCGCCCTCGCTGAAGACGGGGGGAATTCGCGGGGCCCGGTGGAACAGATAAAGACAGCGCGAAGGTGGACCATACTAACGGGTATAAGCGGGTTTCGTCGCGCATCCACCCCAATCAATCACATCGAGGCCCTCGAGAGTGTCATCGGCAGCCAGCCTGCGATGAAGACAGAGGAGTGGGTCGCCGCGCGCGCGAAGTACGAGAATAGCTCCATCGCGCCGCTCGCTCTGGAGGTCAAGAGGGTCGCCCGGCAGCGCGAGCAGCTCGAGGCGGAGACGGCCCTCGCGCCGCAGTTGCCGCTGGAACTCACAGCGGGCGGCGGCGAGGACAAGGCGCAGTGGCGCAATGGCCTCGCAGCGACCACCCTGCAGGAGCTGCTGGAGAGGGAGACCCTCGCCTCCAAATGGCATCTCAAGGAGCACAGGCAGGCCAAAACAGAGCTGGATAAGGCAATCCTGAGGGCTGAAATTCACGCGCATCTGGCCGATGGGGCATAGTGGAAGGGGTGGGGCAACAGAAAAAAGGGAGGAATGTCCCGGGATTCTGGTGGTGGCGGCGTGGGGGGAGGTGGCAAATCGAGGACTTCCCGCTCGTTGCTCTATGGGATTGCCTTCTCGACCTTTGCTTGGGCGCGGCCACTCCTGACGACGGGCGCCTGCAAGGAGACGACCGAATACGTCGGTGGGCAGGTGGGCCAGCAGCGGGTCAACACCTCCTACATCCTTTGCGACCGAGTGCTGCTGAGCGCGGTGAAAGGATGCTCATAAACGGCCTCAAGAAGATCAAAGACCCCATCCGGCTCGCCATGGGCATCATGCAGCAGGCCAGCAGTATGAACCAGATGAAGTCCAGCGGGCACGAGAAGCCCACTATCCGCCCGCTGCTCCAGGCCCGCATCGATGCTGCTCGCGTCGGCAACTAGACAACTTCTGGCGTGCACGCACAGTGCACCAGTAAAAATGCCGAGGGTGATCGGAGCAGAATGGGAGGAGTGGGAGGTGGGATGGGGGAGGGGGGGAACGGGGGAGGAAGTGGAGGAAGGAATGGGAACGGAAGGCGCGGGGTAAAGAAAAGGGAACGGGAGGGAGAGCCAGAAAAGGGAGCAGTAGCAGGGAGACGCAGGAGGAAGGAGGATGATGGAGACGAAAAGTAAGGGGGGAAAGGTTGAAGAGGGACACGAGGAGGAGGATGGAGACTTGGGGACGCCTTCCTCCTCCACATTCCCACCACTCCAAACTCACTTCCCTCCTCCCGCCTCTGTTCAGCCCTTTTTCTGCCCTTCTCGCCAGCCGAGGGAGATCTACGTGGAGGCTTTCGCCACGAAGCCGCCTGGTCCTTAGTCCCACAGCTTCTCCTTTTTACGGCCTTGCGTCCCGCCCCGCCCCAGTTTGAAGGCACGTTCGAGGTCAATCGGGTGGTGCCTGATGCCCCCACTGGATCTCGAAAGTGATGGGGTACGCTGGCAAGGCCAGCAATGCGTCAGAGGACTCGGAACTTTCAGGGAACAACTTCTTCGTCGCGAACAGCTTCGTCGCGTCGCTGGGTTCGTCTCAACTCACGGCCAATACCGATCGATATGTTTTGTTCTAGCGTGGTCATATACATCATCAAACAAACCGTGCTTCAATATAGAGTGCCGAGAGTGTGTCACGCACCAAAAAACCGTGGCACGTTATAGTGGTCAGCGAAGGCTCCCAAACTGTGCTCTTGATTGAATATGCTGAGGGCCCCTGTAGGGGGGCACGCAAACTACAGAAAGAGGAACCGTCGGAAGGCGGAAGGAGGAAGGAGTGAGAGGGAGTAGAGCCGAGTCGAATGGAGGAGGGAGGTTGAGGGAAGAGGAGGGAAGAGGAGGGAGGAGGAAAAGGAGGAGGAGGATGAGGATGAAGAGGAGGAAGAGGAGGAGGAGGAGGAGGAGGAGGAGGAGGAGGAAAAGGAGAAGGAGGGGGCAAAGGAGGAGGAGGGTGACGAGGAGAGGGAGGAGGAGGAGGAAACGGACCAGGAGGAGGGGTAGGAGGAGGAGGAAGAGGAGGAAGAGGAGGAGGAGGAGGAGGAGGAGGAGGAGAAGGAGGAGGAGGAGGAGGATTAGGAGGAGCAGGAGGAAGAGGGAGGAGGAGGAGGAGGAGGAGGAGCAAGAGGGATGTCCTCCTCCTCCTTTTCCTCCTTTTCCTTTTCCTCCTCCTCCTCCTCCTCCTCTTCCTCCTTCTCCTCGCCCTCCTCCTCCTGCTCCTCCTCCCCCTGGTCGCCCTTGTCGTCCTTCCCCTCCTCGCCCTCCTCTGCTCGTTAGCCGCTGAAGCCCGGCGGGTGCGAGGCCCCCCCCCGCGGGCCGCTGGAAGGGCGGAGCCTCGGGGGTGCGGCGGCCTGTGCCCTTAGAGCAGGCGCGTGTACATCTAGAGGTCGCGGCAGCACCGCGCGACCATCTCCTTGGCATCGCTCGGACGTGTGCATTTTCCTTCGGCGAGGACCATCGAGGAGCATCCTTGATCATTTGGCGAAAAAACATGAAAAAACAACACGCACGAAACCGAACAAAATACATGGAATGGACGTCCGAGCGATGGCGAGTCTCTGGCAACCGGCAGCCGCAAGCCCTTGGGGACTCCAGTCGAACAAGAAAAATTGAGGTAAACACAACCTTTTGGCGGTCCCCGCAAGTTTCTTGGATCTGCGCTGGGAGCCCCCTGGCGGCGCCTCTGGCGCCGCCACTGGCGCGCTCCGCACGCCAGGGAGGGAGGTCCGGCGCAGATCCCAGAACTCCGGGCGGAGCGTCAGAAGTTTGTGTGCATGCTGTTTTTCTTCTTCTATCAAGGGACAGGAGTCAGTGCAAACGGGGGTCAGACAGAGCGCCGGATCTTGCAAGATCCTGCAAGGCCAGGGGTGCACTGACCAGGTTCGGGTGCAGGATCTTGCAGGCTCCTGCCCTGGCATCGCTGGGACGTGTGCATTTTTTTCTCGGCGAGGACCATCCAGGACCATCCTGGACCATCGAGCAAAAAAAACACGCGCGAAACCGAAATATGCACGGGAAATGGACGTCCGAGCGATGGCGAGCTGCAGGATCTCGCAGGATCCTGCAGAGCCGGACTGACCCGGGTATGCATGGATCCGTGCCAGTAGATCCCCAAACCACGACCCCTTCGCGTCGTGAAGGAACACCAAGCCTCCGACGGTATGTTTTTTTCAACCGGGGAGAGTTTTTCTCCGACTTTTGGTCTCCAGGGCCCGTTCTTACGCCGCGGGACCATCAGAGTCGGATTTGAAACGAAGTGGTCGGGACCCGAGGGGACGCGGATTGAAACAATGATTTCTGCGGATAACTGGGATTGTCGCGATTGTGTGACTCGTTTCTGTAATTTTGCGGCCTCCGCGAGGGGCCATGACTGGCGAAGGGGGCCGTCAGAAGTTGCTCGCCATGAGAACGGGTCCCAGGGAAGGGGCCAAGTCCTCTGGGGGTCCACGCCATGAACAGCCACGACGTTGGATGTCAGTGCATGAGGGAGGATCGAGGCTTGGAGGGGTGGTGGATTTGTGTTTCCCCTGGCAAATCAGATAAAATTGCTGCGTCATCACAAAAATTGCGACAACCCATCATCGAATCGGGAAATTGCAACATAACACAAAAATCAACGCGTAAGAGCAGTGGCAAAAAAAATGCCCCACCAGAAGGTCTGGGTGTTTGGATCCTCTTGGTCCTCCCGGGCCAGGGACCTCGCCAGATCTGGGGACTCGCAGACCTCCGGAGTTTTTTCTGGGGACCTCGTCGCTCGGGCCGGGCGCGCCTCGAAAGACGGGCCGGGAGATCTCCGCAGCCCCCAGAGGTCTCCTGAGGCCCCCTGAGGTCCCCCACTCCGAGGCATCCAGATCCGAGGCAGGGATTTATGCATAATCACCGCTCTGAGGATCGATCTTCTGAGACTTCGGTAGGCGTTGGATCTGAATATCTGCGGGCCCCCTGGGTCCAAACCATATCCATACACACTGCCCGCTGGGGTCCCAGGACGTCGGTTCCATGGGTGGTGGATATGGGTATATCCCCGCCTCGCATCGGAGGCCTCCGGAGTGCCAGAAGCGCCCCTGAGATCCGACGTTGCGAAACAATACAACACCGCGAAAGTTCACGACCAGATACCTAGACCTCATCTGCCGTGTTTTTCCTTGCGGATCGATCCGTGACGGTGCTGGGGCCCGAAACTGGGCGAACACGCCCGGTGTGAAAAAATGCAACGCCCAGATCCCAGGCTCTGGAGCGCCAGAAGCGTCTTGCGGACATCGATCTTTCTTCTGTCGGCTGCTGGTTTCTGGCGGATCCCACCATCTCTCAAGTTTTGTGGCTGCACCGCCGGGTGAGTCAGGGCCGCATGCGGTGCGGTGCGGGCGCCAGAACGGCGTCGCCTCCTAACCCTGGGCGGCAAGCGCGCTCCTCCCTCCTCCTCTCGGCTCGGACGAACTGGAAGGTTGCAGGTGAGGAGTTCTGCCTTTCCCCCTTGACCCTTCAGGATGGGTCGTCGTCGGACGATGGCAAGCGCTGAGTGCGGTGCCCTGGTTACGACAGCACTCTGACCAGGTGGGTGGCGCTCGGGACCTCACGAGGATCCGCTACTTACGCCACCACCAGGCCTAGTTCTCCAAACGAACAAAGATCAGGGCCGCGCCTCCCCGCGGCGCCAGCAGAGAAAAAATGAGTCACAAAGGGTGCCTCCTGCCGACGAGGGCGCAACCCTGGTATGCTTCTCCCGCTTTCGCGCCTCTCTGCGGGCGCGTGCCGCAGTGCGATTGGCCTCGATGCGGGCTCTCTGGACCTCGCTCAAGGCAGCTGGGGAAGGAGGAGGAGGAGGAAGAGGAAGAGGAGGAGGAGGAGGAGAAGGAGGAGAAAGAGGAGAAGGAGGAGGAGGATGAGGAGGGACAGACGAGGCAGGAGAGGGAACGAGGGAAGGAGCCCCCAAAGTCCACTGCTCAATCGAAATTGGCCAGCTGGGGGTCATAAATTTCAGGGTCCACTCCATGGCCAGCTCGACCGTTGCCGAAAGAGAAATCAAAGGCTTAAGCGAACTCTTCGTCACACTGCGGGGTCCACTGAGCGAAAAAATTGTGAAGAACCTCGCTCACCTCGGCCCTGTCGATTTCGAAGACAAAGTCTGCCTCCTCTGCTTCAGCAACAACATTCTTAGCACTGTCCGGAACGGCGCGTGCAATGGCCTGTGGCACGGGTGGGACGTGTAGGTCTTCTTGCTCTGATTTCGCCAAGCCCCGTCTTGGAGACGACTATGCAGCGTAATATGAGCTCCCTTGCCGTGAGAGCATTTGCCATGACCGGGACTGTCTCTGAGGGCCTCCGAAAGTTTCGGCATGCGAACTCCTAGGATTCGAGTGGCAGCCCGCCCTATGGACGACATGTCGGTGTCCTGAGGTTGGTGTTCACACTGGTCAAATACTGTGGTGGCCGCGACAGGTGAGGAGGAGATGGCAACGAGCGGACTGGCGGGGGCACCTCCACGAGACGGGGGGCAGCGTGAACCCAGGTCGCGGGGATGGGGTGTCCCATTCATCCTCCAGTGTCAGCCCCGACGTGCCTTGCGAGCATATAAACCAGGGCCTGGAGCAACGGACTGCCGATGCGGAGCTGCTCCTGCTGTCTGGGGCGGCAGCCTGGGATGCCCCAAACATCAGCCTCGGGGGGGGGCCTTCCGGCCGACGGGCGGCACTCCAAGTTTCGCAGAGCACCCCACCCCCCCGCGTTCAGAATTCTACGATCACGAATGCGACCTAGCTAGAGTATGATCAAATCTGAAGCCGTGAGGTCCTCCTTGACATTGTCGATCGCTATGCCAAGGGACCTAGAGCCATGGGCACATTATATTCGATGGTCCACCCACAAAGCTGAAGGGATGATGGAGCATCTGCAAATCACTGATTGGATATCGATCCAACGCCAACGAAAATGGAGGTTGGGCCAGAAAGTGTGCAGTGCGGCAGAATACGAATGGACATCTCAGGTGTTACGGTGGAACCCTCAATGCGATCTACTATGGGGTGCACGACGGCGACAGGGTCATCCGAAGAAACGATGGTCGGATGATATTGTACATTACGCAGGGCCCGACTGGATTTCCAAAGTCCTGTCCGACAAATGGGACTTGCTTGAGGCAGCTTATGTAGGCAGGACGGCGCCTGACCCTTCTTCTTTGTAGTGTGCTTCATATTGTAGCGTAGCATGTGCACGTGTGTTTTGTTTGTTCATCTGTCTCACACTTGCCGGGTGCCACGGCGCCAGCCTGCGACGCCCCCGCCGGCGACAGCTGCAGGTCCGATGTCCGATGCCCGATGCCAAGGGTGAGACAGAAGAGCTCGCAATCGGGCATGGGGTGAGAGGGCGAACGGTGCCATTGGATGTTCCCAGTTCTGCGCCTACCACAAAATAGGTTCAGGATAAAGCATTGCGGGCGGCAGATCTCAGACGGGAGCGGATCCGCGGCCGCTCCCTGAAAGTCCTGAGGCCGAAAGGGTCAGAACCTGTCGTCAGGCGCCGACTCCGAGGGAGCAGGAACCAACACACCAGAAAGCTCCAACAATTTGTCCACAGCATCTCCAGAAACAAGCACGAAATCCAATCGTATCAGAACTTCGCGGGCCTCGAGTCGGTCAGTTGAGTAGTAACATTTCGAACGAATGGGTCGGTAATCGGTCGGTAATCGCTCGATCTCTCGCTTTGCCTCGAATCTGCAATCTGCCGGGCGCCACCTGCCACATTTTGCCACAAGTTGTTTCTCAGTTGCTGCAGCTGCCTCCGAATTTAGCTGCTCTTTCTTCTCTGGCGAACAACCTGACGGTGTGCTGAGCATGGTCAGCGCGCATCGTGGTGACGAAAAGGCGAGGCGCTCGACTAGCGGGTTGCAAG